TGAAGACGTTGTGTAGTCCAAACTGACGAGGAAACATGTACATCATGATTTTAAGCATGTGCTGTCGCTGAACATTTTGATCAGATTGCTGAGGATCACTTGGATCCTGGACACGAGGGTATCTGTTCAGAACATCTACGCAATGTCAGTGGCGTTGGTTCTTCGACGAAACACTAGGATAGAATTACGGATGTGCTTGTAGCCAGGTTGGATTGAGCCTCGAGAAGTAAGAGACGGCTTGGCATAGAATATTCTGCTCCTCACCAATGTGATATCTGCAGGTTTTCGGCATTCACTGGGAGATCCGTTTCCAAGTGATACGTTACCCCCGGGAAGATCAAGCTCCGACAACGGTACACCTAGGGAGATCAATACAGTGAAACAGGGAAAGCAAAGGGAGCTATTTACCAGTGAGCTGGTAGTAATTGTTGAAGCCCGCCTGTACATTGACGTAAACAGAAGTATCAACAAGCAAGTCGATCATGATCTTCTCGCCAGCTCGGCCCAGGAGTGCCAGCAACTGCGGCCAAGGAGCTTCCCTAAGCGCCTTGACATGGGAGTTGGGGTAGAGGCTGAAGAGTCCTGGGATACTTGTATTTCCCTGATCGCCTGGTCCAGCTGATTTTCTGAAGCCATCGCAAAGCAAATGTTTCGGACGTCGTCCAGCTTTCAAGTCTCTAGAGAACAGGAGCCACACGACAAAGTCGACAATCTTGGAAGCAAAGTCAGCACGAGAAGACAAAAAGAATGGAAAGAAGACGGACCTCTGACTGTGAAAACATCGACCCGGCGATTCCATCCGAAATGCCAACATAAGATTCATCTTCTTTTTGCGAGAAGACAAGCCATTGCTCCCATCGCGTGTCATCGCTGTCGCGAGCTTGGTCACGAAAACAAACAAGAGACGAATCCAATAGTTGTGACAATTGACTCTCGACTTCTCCAATATTGTCGCCCTGGCCGATTGATGCCACTTTCTTGCGTCGAAGACGGGAACCTCGTGGCAAGCTGGAGAGAACATGTTCTCTTAGTGTAGTGACCCTAGCATAGCAGCGCTCCAAGAGATCGCGTCTCACAGGCGTGTCACTGCATGAACTTTTCTTCTTTGGTGTGCTTGACGTGTCTTCGGGGCCAAGCTTGCGCTTCTTCCCTACGACCATTTTGATGGATCGTGGGCTGACCATTCACGTCGCGCCTGTTATCGCGATGCATGTGGTTTCCTGAAGTCGAGATATGGAGATGGAGAGTAACACAGCCACAAGATCGCCCTGATGCCGATCGATTTCTGTGGCTGTTGCTTAAAATAGTGGCTCAGGGAGCTCGGGAGCTGGTCCCGATTGGGTAAGGCGCTGGTTTTAGCGTCCGGCGGGCGCCAGGGACTCGCAAAGGGTGTGGCACTGTTTTCGAGGTCTGAGCGCGAGTGTCTCGACAAGTTGAAGCACCAGAGGTTACAACAAGAGACTTCCTCTGTCAATGGATAGGGAGGGAAGAATTGTGGCATGGTCAAGTCTGGTCCAAATGTCTCTGATGTGCGGTGGATAATGTGTTCGAAATAGGAGTAGAATTCTCCGTACTCCGTACACAGCAGAGCAATGCCGGGGGCCAAGCCAAGTACCCTTCTTGTCTTATCAACTGAATTCCACCTCCATGGCCAACATGAGCCCCTTGCTTCTCAGCTTGCCTACTCGGGAGAACAAGTGGATTGAGTTTCGCCCGCTTGCGCAGGTACGAGGCATGGAAGCACGGTATCTCGAGGGGTATGCGGCCGTTAAAGACAAAGGGTGGGATAGGTGAGTTGAGGATGATTTCATGTGGCTTACAGAAAGCGACGCTGTGCTGCAGGAGAGGACAATCGTTATCAAAGTTGCGGCAGCAACAACACCATCGTCACAAGCTCTAGCAGCAGCAGCACTGTAGCACGACGCAGGAACGGGGAGCACGGAGAGGACCCGGTCGCCAGGCAACCTGGCGCGATACAAACAAAAAATGTGACAACCCAGGCCTGCTGCTGCTGTCCAGATGGCATGGCATGGTACGATCGATTGAATTGGCTGATTAGCATGGGACCCCGGATCTACAACCACGTCGTCTGGAGTCTGGAGAATCGGTAGACAGGGTAATCAAAGACAGAGGAAATTTTCCCTCATTCTTTCTATCTCCGGCAATACCGGTAACGGTGGGATGGCATGGATGGAAGAGAGGGAAATTTTTGCAACCCATCTGCCTCAGCTTCCGAGCGCGGGACAAGCCAGCCAGGACCAGGGCACACCCAGCCCATCATCACCCAGATCATGGATCATGGCGGAACAAGTCAGGGGTCGGCAGGGGAAGAGAAGCGAGGGAAGAGGGACCGAGTCGCTGACAGACTGGGGTCGAGAGGCGGTCCCTGGATGGAAATATGGAAATAGAAATAGAAACCCGTTGCTAGGACACGAAGTCGGTCCATCCATCACTGGATCCATGGACAGACAGCCACGGATGACATGACGAGATATCCCCCACCTTTTGGACACTTCACAGTGATCGAGATGTGTGTGCCAGAGGGGGGAGAAAGGCCACGACAGAAGAAACGAAATGGGTAGGGGACAAAAAGGGGTGGTGGAAGCACAGCATCAGGGGACGGCAAGACTTGCAGACGGCCCGGGGTAACATTGGGATGGATGGATATGGATCTTGGGGCACCCAATATCTAGCAATCAATCATTGATTGATTGTCCCCAATATCTGGCGACAGAGGCGGCAGATTGAACCACATCACGTCCAGTCCATCCGTCGCCCAGCGGGGTTCTTCTCTCTGCACAAGATATTGCCCATCCTATCCCATCGCAGGGAACCAGCAGCAACGCAACAAATTGCATGTCCCAGAGCACAGCAGGTCGCGGATCAATGCCACAGTGCATGTCGCCATCTGGGCTCGGCTCGCGGTACTGGACGAACTGGCCAAGCGGATGGAATTGAGGCTGACGGATCGGCTGCCACACGAAACGGTTCGTGGCCGCGAGACGAGGTCGCTACCGTGAAGGGTGGAAATGGATTGGATCGGTGTGAACCCCTGAGGCTTGTCAAGGGGAGACAGAGACCGAACGACCTCGATCCATTGCTTGGTCCTCGCGACTCTCCTGCTCTCGCCGGCCAATGCAGTGTTTAAGACCAATGTCGCATCTTCATCCGCTAAGAAACATCCATTGGAAACCCTTTGGAGGGGAGGCCCCAGCCACACAGCACAATGGGGAGACTCGAGAGAGACACTAAATATTATCCCGACGAGCGAGGAGATCGGGATCCAGTGTTCAGTTACGTGGTGCACTGTACCACGGGCTGTAATGAGATGGGGTGTAAAACATCCATTCAGGCCGAGCGCATCTGTATGTATCGGCATTTTGTGTCCCTCCATCTCCATCCATGGATCCATTGACATCCATGAAGAATGAATGGAGGATTGATTGCCGACTCTGCACGAGTGGTAGGGGCTCGGCTCCTTCACAGCCAACATCACATTGCAGTAATGTACAGTGCAGTAGGCACATTACAGATGCACAGAAGCCTTGGGTCCAATCCATAGAAGCCCGCCCTGAGTTTCTGGGCCTCGATGAGGTGCCAGTTGTTGGTTCCCATTGTCTTGGTTTCGCGCTGGGCCACCTACACCCATGAAAGTCTACTGTGCTGTTGGTGGGCCTCCACAGACAGGCCGGCCGTGGCAGTCTGTCCAGTCCAGTCCTAGGTACCACAGGCAAGCCGTCCACTAACGATCCACTGCAACCCACCCGCTGTATCAGAATGCAGGGCGGGGAGCTTGCCGGTACCTGGCCTGGAGCCCTGCGGCCAAGGGTCTGCAAAGTACTGCACTACACTACCGGGCCTTGTGGTGGTGAGAGTAAAAAAGAGTCGGAGTACCTAGGTAACCAATCCAGTGAAAGCTCCGCTGGCGTTTGCTCCAACCGTTGGCTTTGGTCGTCCACTGGAGAGAATGGAAACTCGGCAGGAGCTCCACCAAGTCCAAAGGAAGGTGCCGTTGGCTTGTACCTTTCGAGCCCTGCGAGGCCGCCGCGGTCTCTACCTTAGATTATCGCGCGACGCTTGTGTTCACCCTGCCCTGACCTCAACTCACTCCGTCCTTTTCTGCACGTCTTGAGATATCGTCCTCTCTTCCATCTCTCCCTCTCCTTCTCTACACCGCAGCTCGCTTCTAGTGCCGTTTTCAGTCTTTTGCCGTCGTCGTTGCTCATATCTGCTGCTCCTGTTCTCTCCTTGTGAAGCATTCCCGTCGAGGATCCTCCCCTTGAGAACCACACATTCTCGAGCCTCATACGACATTGCCCTGTGCTGTCTTGCCCTGTGCCCTCGGAATACTGGCAATTTCTCATCTGCGCCTCCAGCAGCTCGTGCCCATTCATCACGGACCTGCTCACTCAAAGCTGTGCTGTGCTGCATTGCAGCTCAAGTGCCAGCATCCCCGTCATCGCCCTGGACCCCCAAGCCTCTGGCAGAAGCTGGCCTACGGATGACGAGTAACGGCCGACTCCAGCAGCTGCCTCCACTGAGAGTGTCCACTCCCATTTTCATCCCTCCCCTAGAGTCCCTGGGACGGTGTGGACAGGCCCCATCCCGTCATTACTGCTCCTGCTCCTGCTCCTGCTCACTCGTTGTCGTCCACGAATGGCTCCCACAGTTGTGAACCTGTGAGAGTTGCCAGAGCCGGTGACGCTCTCCCACCCCCTGGTTGTCTTGCGCCCTCCAGGCCCGTTTACAATTCTCCCAGTCACCAGGTCTACCGCACTCGTTGCCCGCCCACCGACCTACACTACGCTGCCTACGGTACAGTACCTACACCTACCTACCTTACCTACATACACCCACGCCTATCGAGAGTACGCCTCACACCAACGCCCGCCCGCACACCAACAACGTCCAAACGCCAACGCATCGATGCTCGCTGCATGGGTCTCTAGTCCCCCGACCAGTCGCTCCGCTCGACGAGCCTGACCGATGCTCAGGCCACCATGGACCACGACATGGATATGGCCCTCCACGCGGGCCTCCAGCCGGACCTCCAAGACGTCGGCTCGAGCCTTGGAAATCCCAATTTCGAGCCTCACCCAGACCTACATCGCCATCCCCAACGACACCGACTCCATCGCTCCCGCGACATCGACCTCGACCACGAACGCCGGCTCGTCCGCGACGCTGACGCTCAAGCCCAGGCCTACCTCCAGGGCCAGCTGCCTCACGACCCTGAGCTCCGCCATCATCAGCACCCAGAGCATCACCTCCTCGATCCTGCTCTCGCAGCCGCCCCTGCATCCCATCTCGACTATCACGGCGCCTACTCCCACCCTCCCGCGCCGTACGCCGACGACGTCCTCGACCCGACCTCCGCAAACGCCCATCATGCCTTCACCCCCGTAAATCCCGACGACTTTTACAAGAGCTACCGGGCAATCCCCCTCCAGAACCACCCCGAGACACTTCCCATGGCCGCCTCCACCCCGCGCCCGTCGTTGCGCTCCAACGGTGACGGCTCTACCCCCAAGCACCCCGTTCTCTCCCCAACCAGGACCAACCTGCGTTCCGCCTCAAATCCCGTCGACAACAGGCCCGCCCTCCCGGGCTACAAGCCCACTGCATCGCACCCCAGCGTGAGGGACCTCAAGAAGCGGTTCGACCAAAACGGTGCTGCACCTTCTTCAATCCCCCGTGCCCCGGCGCATACGGGTGCTGCAGCTAAGACTAGGCGGGATGTCGGCGGCCCCAGTACACAGCCGCGAAACGGTGCAACGTCTTACTCGACATTGCGTGACGGCTCCGGCACGTCAAATAGTCCGTCTGCATCCTCCTCGTCAGCTCGTTCTCAGAGGTCCAGGTTTGTTGCCGAGGATCAGGTCTCGAATAATTCACAATCTTTTGCGAGTCGTATAGGCAAACCACGAAGCGGCGTTAGTGGAAACCCAAATGCCTCCAAATCCATGACCAACCTAGCAGCAAAATCCCCACCTCAACCAACTTCTGCTTCCCCCACACCATCTCGTTCTCAAGGCTTGCTGTTCGGCGAGATCCTCCCCGAGCAGCGAAACCTCTTGACTGCTGGTTATGGAATTGAGGGCGTCCGCCCACGGAGGACGTCTGAATCCAGCTTACACCATCCCTGGAGCCACCAGAGAAGCCTATCTGACCCACCAGATGTCGCCGAGCCCTCGTCCCCAAGCACCTGGTATCGTAGCCTCAACGGCGACGGTGTTGACGGCCAGCCTGCACAGGATCCCGCTCACAAAGGCCACACGCGGTCACAGAGCGATATTCCCAAATCTCAATCGGGTCCTACCCCCTCCCGCAAAACGCCTTCTCGAAAAGGCACCGCCTCTAATACCGCCGCTGGAGGTGGATCTTCGTCCAAGCTACCGCGCTCAGTGAGAAAACTCAGCAGCCCAGGCGATACGACACCCTCATCGACACGCTCCAACTCCCCCTCTACCTTCAAAAGGCCACCAACGGTTAATGGCCGAATATCAAGGGCAGGTACTCCAACAAGCCGAGCGAAAACACCGACTTCGAGAGCCAAGACACCCACCCCGGGCGGCGTCACTCGAAAAGCGGCACCTCGGTCTCTCGTCACACCAACAAGTAATAATCGGCTCCAGGCCAATATAATTGCTCCCCCGCCGAAGCTCTCTCCTCCCCTGAGGAGTTCTCGACCTCGACAACCTGTTTCCGTGGCCACCACGGCAAGCTCACGAATGAGGGCAGTAGAGAGGGCTAGGTCCCCAGCTCCCCCTTCCTTCCCCCCGTCCAAGATCGCCGAGCCATCCCCTCGACGGCGAAAGATATCTGTGGGTCCGATCGATTTCGAACAGCGGCGAGAACACATTCGACTCGCGTATACTAAGTCTATCCGTGAGAGCCAGGCCCTCGAGGCACGGCAGAAGGCAGCGGAGCGAAGGCGGAGGGATATGGAGGCTACTGCAAAGGCAAAGGCAAAGGCCGCCGCTGCCGCTTCTGCCTCTACAGGGACATCACCGCGGACCCCAGAGCCAGATGCAGTAGACTCTCCAACGACCTCCGATATCCCGCCAGTCCCGCCGATTCCAGACAGCCATGCAATGCCGGAGCCACCAGTCATCCAAGAACCTGGTTCCCCCGAATTATCTACAGCTACAGAAGTCCAAAATGCCTTGAACGTGATAGATCCTGGAGTGTCACACGGACAGGCCCATCTGGATACCCACGAGGAGCACCCTTCACCAGCGATAGATGACTCGACTATGAGTCCTGTTGACATTGCGGCAGCATTACCTCCAGCTGCACTGGCAATTGCAAGCCCAGAACCGACACCACCTGCTGAGTCTGTGGTCCGAGATTCAGATTCACCTACACTCGGCGTCCCTGGTAGCTTCCCCGCCCCCAGCCCTATCGCCGATGCTGTAGAACGACCTCAAACTGCAGTGTCAGCAACGTCAGAAACGACCCAGTTCGATAACGAGCCTCAGACGACACCGCCAAGGCCCGTCCTGTCTCCGCTTCAAGTGCCAATCACCATTGTTAAACCACCAAGCCCGCAGGCGCAGAGGACTGTCACGCCTCCAAAGGTCGAGTACCAGTACCCATTCCACGATGAGCCCGATTCGCCAGTACAGCCGAGAACCACGCACGATACGATCCAGGACTCCCATGACACAACACCGAGGCACAGCGCGGTTGAGGAGCCTGTGATCCCGGGAGCGTTCACTGTATTTGAAGAGGATGTTCGCTCTCAACCAGAGCATCAGTCGCTGTTCGAGGCTACCATTGCCGTCTTGCCATCTCATCCCCCCTACGAGGACCCGCGACCAGCCGAGGAGCATGAAGAGACGGTACCGTTCCCTCGCATCTCGCACGATTATGAATCAGAGTGTCAGACAGAATCGGAGGCAGATGAGGGCGTCGGGCATTATCACCATGAGGATGACGGCGCTATCACCGATACCTGCACTGAGGAGACGGATGACCACAACAGAACTGAAGAGTGCAGGTCGGAATCTCAATTTGACGATCGGGTTTCTTCTCATCGGGCTTCTACCTGCGAATCCTTCGATGCTGACGGCACAGACGATCACGAATACCCCCATTATGAGCATCAGCGCCCAGAGTCTTCAACGAATCTCATGGTACCGACACTGTCTGCACCCAACCGAGCAAGTCAACAGTCGGCATGGACGGACTACACGGTCGATAGCGCCGAGGTGTCCCCTGCAACCCGCTCTCCAGCTTTCCCGGACATTGATGATGAGGATGACACTGGCGACCATGGCCATGTGACAATCTTCGAAACCATGTCTATTCACAGAGATCGAGGGCCAACAATCCGACCCCTGGAGATGCACAGTACTCAGCCTGAAGTCCGTCCCTCGATAGACTCGAGCCGATCACCATACCTAGGCCATCAGCTTCCGGAACTCGATACAGGTGATGGATTCTCGGTCCCTTATCTCTCCAACAGGGCGAGCAAGAGTTTCTCTTACTTTCCGTCACCGAATCACGAACCCCCGCCTATCCCTGCCTCGACATCTGGCTCAGCGTGCAACTCTCAAAGGGCTTCTGGTGTGTTTTATGAGCAGTCACAAAGCGGAAGCACATTCATCAACTCTGAACGTGGCTCGGAAGATTATATGCCAACAATGATGACTCCTCAGTCAATGGACACGGCCTCTCTGGGGACACAGAACCAGTATTTTGCTGACTCGGCGACGCTCAACGGTGACGGGGCCTCCGAGGCACAGGACAAGAACGGACCGACAGGAAAGGAAAAGCAGCGGCTGATTCAACGTCGAAACGTGATCAAGGAGCTTGTCGACACTGAGGCCGTATTCGTTCGGGATATGAATATCGTCGAAGAAATCTACAAGGGGACGGCCGAGGCATGCCCCAAGCTCGACGGTAACACTGTGAAGCTCATTTTCCGCAACACGGATGAGATTATCTCATTCCACACTTCATTCTTCGCCCAAGTCAAGGAAGCAGTCTCGCCCGTCTATGCAATGCAGGGTCGCCGCTCGAATCTCTCCAGAGAGGGCTCGTTCATGTCGGAGCCTGGCCACTTGAACCCCGCGGATATCGATGATGGCAAGGATCGGACTGTCGCGCTGGGCCCTGTTTTCAAGGCCAATATGGAAAAGATGAAGCTGGCTCATGAGGGCTTCTTGAGGAACAGTGACGGAGCGGCAAAGCGCCTCATTCAGATCCAGCAAGATCCCACCGTCAAGGTGTGGCTGAACGAATGCAATGAGGTTGCCAAGGACTTGACAGCTGCATGGGACTTGGACTCCCTTCTCATCAAGCCAATGCAGCGCATCACCAAATACCCCAATCTAATCATGACTCTTCTCCAACACACGCCGCAGGATCACCCCGACCGAGAGGGCCTTCTTGAGGCCAAAGATATTCTCGAAACAGCCATCATCGAGATCAACAAAACCAAGAAGAACTTCGAACTGGTCGGGCAAATCGTGGGAAGGAAACGGAAAGAGTCCGACGTCAAGGCTGGATTTGCGCGGGCATTTGGGAAACGAGTTGATAAGCTTCAGGGTTCGGGCAGCCGCCAATCCGAGGACGCCGACTATGCCAAGCTCAACGAGAAGTTTGGTGACGATTATCTGCGACTACAGGTCGTGCTCCGGGACGTCGAATTCTACACGAGACAAGTTTCAGCCTATGTTCACGAGTTTCTCCAGTATTTGTCGTCGATTGAGCTAGTCATGAGGCTCCAGCCTGGAAACTATCCCGAGCTGGAGAGCAAGTGGGTTCAGTTCAACATCTCGATACAGGACTTGGAAAAGGTTGCGCTTGAGGACCATGTAAGTGAAAAGAGCCATCTCGGCGAAGTCATGCTGACAAGTCATAGCTGTCGCAAGTTCGAAAGCACGTTATTGAGCCGTTTGAACATGTTATCAAGGCATATGGCAACCCATCACTAGCCATGAAGAAGCGACAAAAGCGTCGCGTGGACTTTGAACGATATGAGCAGTTGAAGCGTGCGAACAAGAGCATCGACTCAAAACTAAACGAGCTTGTCGAGCAGTACGAGGCCCTGAACGACACGCTCAAGAAGGAGCTTCCGAAACTGTCTGCCCTGACAGAAAAGATCGGCAACATTTGTCTTGGCAACTTTGTCAACATCCAGGCCAAGTGGTACGGCATCTGGAAGGAGAAGATGAAGGTGGTGCTGGGCGACTGCCCCGACATGCCAGACCTCAAGGAGGTTGTTGCTACCTTCCACCGAGATTTCCCATATGCACAAGAGCAGGTGGCCAATGTTGGCATCCTCAACCCTGCATATCGTGGCAGAGTCTCTCAATCAACCACACGAAGCATGGATGAAGCATCGTCCCTAAGGATCCGATCACGCCCATCGGAGAACGATTCGCGAGGCCGGGGTCATTCCGTCAATGGCGAACAGGCACCAGGTCTCCCACCTCCCGATGTTCTCAAGCGTCACAGCGGCTCATACACCATGTCGCCCACCAGCGCTGGAGCGGGAACCATCCCCAGTCCGCACCAGTACTACTACCGTGATTATTATGCTGGTATCAGCAATCACCAGCAAGGCACAGCCTCACCCTTGTCCCCGGAGATGCCAAGCAGTTCACGGTCCTTTGCTGCTTCGACGAGACCAAGCACGGGACGAAGCTTTGATTCTGGTGGTCTTCCAAGACAGAGCTCCGACTCGAACACACACCACCTCCGAGATTCGCACACCACATACAGTTCTCAGAACCAGCCTCAGGAAGGGCGGCGGTTTTCTGGCCTCTTCCACTCAGCATTACCGATGGCTGACGGACCGGAAGATAGCGCCCGGTCGTCCCGTGCATCATCACGGGAACGGGGACCGACAGCAGATGGGTACAATGTGCTCTGGCTAGCAGCATCGTTATTTGAGTTCAACATTGCTACGACAAAACACGAAGCTGGTTACCCATACCTGGTTTATCAGGCTGGCGAGGTAAGTAAACGGCTCACGGGATGACAAAGGGGCTTGGCTGACTCTTGTTCCAGATTTTCGACGTGATCGCGGAGAAAGGAGAGCTCTGGTTGGCCAAGAACCAGGACGATCCCGGTAACCAGGTCGGATGGATCTGGTCGAAACATTTTGCCAAGCTGGCCGATTTCTAGCGGCGGCAAAGTTGCAACTCATGCATCAGCAAGCAAGCAAGCAAGCGATGACTTGACTTTACTATTGAACTACGTAATGCATCAAAGAGGTTATGTACTAGGACTAAAGAGGGGGCTATGGGCGTTTATTCCACGGACATGCGATTTGGAACGCAACGAGGAGGAAAGACGCTCAGCGATGAGAGTCACCGTCTTTCCTTTTGGTTTCTTGATCTTCTTTACCACATTTTGCTTTGCTTCATCATGGATCAGACACTGACCCTTGTTTATTCTGGAAGTTGCGTTATTGTGTTTGTGTGTGCGGTTTGATTCAGGAGCTCTCATTTGTTTGGACTTGTGTATTGTGGTTTGGCTCTCCTTTAATGTCCTCGAATGGCGAGAAGTACAAGTACAGCAGGGGGAGGTGGAAGAAAGCATCCATGTGTCGAGGACTAGGAGACGAGGAAGGGAGCTCGGCGTTCAGAAGAAAATACCAACAGCGTATGTAAGATTTCGGATGTTGCGGGTGGAGGAACAAGGAGAAAACTTGGCGGGCAGGGCTCGCATTGCTAGCATTGCACCATGAATATTACAGGCTCATATTAAAGTAGGAAGGGCATGCATAAGAGACAAGGGAGGAGGATGGTGAGCCGAGTTTGGAATGAGATACCAGAACAATAAATGATTATCAAAACTTGAGGTGTTGTGCGTGACAAGGAGACTATGAGGGTAGAACCAGCTTCCTTGCGGGTGAACAGATTGGATATTTCAAAGGCCATGGGTGGAATGTACTGTAGAATCGAAACAACGGACCCTGCCAATGCCGAGACAGTCTATCAAGTCATGATATAGGTTTTATATCCATAGAGTAGCAAAGATCTACACCAAGTGGACTCTTGCCCCAGACCTTGTTCCTGATGACATGTGACTCTGAACTAAAACCCCAGACTTTGGTGGAGGCTCTTCCCGCCCGCCCACTACAGGCGGGCAGGAGCCGATGATGGGCCTACCGAAAAGGGAAACGAGAACCATCCCACCTTCCTTAGCCACCCTCCCTTAAACAAGAGTAAGGGGGCAGGTACATTACATTAGGTACAGTAAGAGTTGCAGCGGAGTCAGACCGCACCTTCCTTCTAACAGAAATAGATCTAGCCTTCTCCTCCAAGGATTCATTATCTCTAGAATCTGCCAAGCCTTGTTTTTCTCTGTCCTCATCTTCCTCTCACTTCATTTATACCCTGGTACAAGCTACGTAAGAAAAGGTACCCGTCTACTCTTGCTTCCGTTCCATGACCCACACAACACGAAATGCCCGCGACAAGCTCGCCGCAAGAGCAGGGGGGCCATGGGGAGTACCCGCAACAACCTGAGCAGCAACAGCATCAGCAACTTGACGAGCAGCAATGTAGCAACTCTGAACCTCAGACTTTGCCTCAGTCTCAGCAGCAACAGAACCAGCGCTCACGGTCGCAACCACAGCATCAGAACCCTCGACGGGCCCCGTCCAGCACGCACCTCGTCGTCCCTTCAGCATCCGCCGCTCGCTCGTCTTCCCCATCGTCGTCATTCTCGTTCGTGGCCACGCCTTCAGCAACGCCTTCGCCTTCTGCCTCGGTCTTGTCCATTGACGTGTCGCGCTCCTCCAGGGAAGCTTCCCCTCCGATAGAGACACCGTCTTCCTCCAGCGCCGAGGCCAATAACGGCCGTGCCCTCCGGCAATTCGACACGAGCGACGATCGCGAAGACAGCTTCGACAGGGACAGCGAGGATTACAGGCGCGAAAGATATAACCCAGCCAACATGGCGAGCTGGTCCGGGACGCCCTCGATCAAGGGCAACACCGAGGCGGTGCGAATGGTGTTGTTGAACTTTATCACCATTGGCGTGACGTACGTGTCTTTTTGTCATGATACCACCTATAGAGTCTGAGTTGCTAACTCGTATCGCCTATTTCAGCTTCACATGGGGCGTTGAAATGACATGTGAGTCTACAATTCCTAGCTAAGCGATCAATTGTTAACGCACATATAGATTGCACGCCGTATCTGCTTAACCTCGGCCTTAGCAAGAGCAGCACATCTCTAGTTTGGATTGCTGGTCCATTATCCGGCCTCGTGGTCCAGCCCATCGTCGGAGTCATTGCGGACGAGAGCAAGTCAAGATGGGGTCGTCGACGACCGCTCATGGTCATTGGCTCTATAATTGTCGCCATTAACCTTCTCATCCTTGGCTTCACACGAGAGATTGTGGGATGGGTGGTGAAAGACGAGGAGGGGGCGAAACGTCCTACAATAGTGCTAGCTGTTCTGGCCATCTATGTTGTGGACTTTGCCATCAACGCTGGTTGGTGCTCTCAGCATACGTAATGTTTGTGTCTTCTTGCTAACAGATTCAGTCATGTCATGCGCAAAGAGTCTCGTCGTCGATACTCTACCATTGGATAAGCAACAGTCGGGCGCAGCTTGGTGTAGGTTTAACTCTACTTGATATGCATGCATAGCTGACGCCTTCTCCTATAGCGAGTCGCATGTCTGCCATCGGCCACATGATCGCTTATGGTGCTGGAGCTGTTGACCTGGTGCAAATATTTGGAACCACGCTCGGCTCTACGCAGTTCAAGCAGCTCACTGTCATCTCGACAGTGTCCATCCTAGCCTCCACAGCTCTCACATGCTGGGCCGTCACAGAGCGCATATTGATCTCATCCAAGCCTACACAGCATCAGGGACGGTTCAAGGTCTTCCGTCAGATCTACTCAACGCTGCTTAACCTTCCTCCTCGAATCCAATCCATCTGCTGGGCCCAGTTCTGGGCGTGGATCGGCTGGTTCCCCTTTCTCTTTTACAGCACCACATGGGTAGGCGAGACGTACTTCCGCTACGATGTGCCGGCCGACGCGAGAAAGACCAAGGATACTCTTGGAGCGATTGGGCGCATTGGCAGCACTGCGCTCGTCATCTACTCCATCATCACATTTGTCGGGGCTTGGGTGCTGCCCATGTTTGTGCAGTCGCCTGAAGACAATTCGTATACTCACCGGCCGCCCCAGGCCATCGCAGGCTTCTTGACACGCTTCAACAAGGTGAAGCCGAGTCTACTCACTGCATGGATGATTGGGCACTTGATGTTTGCTGGCGCCATGTCCTTGGCGCCCTTTGCGACGAGCTTCCGATTCGCGACAGCACTAGTGTGTCTCTGCGGCATGTGAGTGACAGACCCCCTTTAAGTGTTGTGCTTTCATACTCATGAGTAAATTACAGACCGTGGACACTCGCCATGTGGGCACCATCCGCCTTTCTCGGCGTTGAGGTCAACAAACTCAGCGGTGGCGCCGGTGCCGACGGCACATATCGTCGCATCTCGGACGAGCCCGATATCGAGCTGCCAGAACTCGACTCGGATGAGGCTCCTCTGCGTCTAGGGCATGGGCCCGGCGACTCACCTCCTACAGCGTCGACGGGCGAGCTATCAGGTATCTACTTTGGTATTCTCAACATCTACACGACACTACCACAGTTTGTCGGAACCTTCATCTCCACCATCGTGTTTTCCATCTTGGAGCCAGGCAAAAGCCCTGAGCTGGCTGGAGACTCGAAGGAACCGTCAGATCCTACTGGACCAAATGCGATTGCGGTTTGCTTGTTCATCGGCGCCATGAGCAGCTTGGTCGCGGCGCATGTAACGCGGAAGCTGAAAGATCTATAGCTTTGGTATTTACAGTGCAAGAGGATGTCTTGTATAGACATGGTGTCAGCAATCTAGAGTTTCGAATTGTCGTACTGGATTTGGGTATAATAGCGCATAGGTAGGGAAGGTAAAACAGGTATATACTCTGGGCAACCAGACGCGGCAGGACCGGAGTCTGGCTGGGGAGATGGAGCACGTCTATAGAGGTGCTGCGATGCTTAGAATCATATATCAAGATCAAGATATGGCCAGAGATGGCCTCTAAGTCTGAGGGTAGTAATATGAATGAATACGTCCACGCTGTCCCATGTACAAGGCAGAAATGACAGATCTCGCAAAGGGTATCCCCAACAACACCGTTGTCGCGCCTCTTGCACCGCCGTCCGTCATCTCCGATCGCTTCCTGTTATATCCATCGTCGTCATGGCGTTGACGAGCTGAGCTGCCAACGCGCACACCACACGCGCATGCGCGCATCACATCCCAGCAAAGTCTTCTACTTGTCCTTCTCGTTCTCGGCCTCGGACACCTTCTCCCACTCGTCCTCAGTGCTGACGCTCGAATGAGTGCCACCAGCAGCGACGCGCTGCGTCACCTCACCCTTTGGCTCGACGGGCTCCAACCCCGCGGCGGCGGCGGCATCAAGGGTCGTGGGATCCTTGGCAGGCGGCGCCTTGCTCGGGACGGCAGCGGCGGGTGCGGCTGGGGCGGAAGAGGCCTTTTCAACCTCAGTCTCGGTCTCGTCGTCGGTGGTTGTATCGTCCCGGGTAGCCTCGCGCTTCTCCCTCTCCTCCTTCTCGCGCTGCTCGCGCTGCGCGACGGCCAGCTCGGCGGCGAACCAGTTGACGCTCCACCACAGGCCGGCGCACAGGATGGAGAGGACGAGGCAGTGGATGTTGTAGGTTGCGACGAGGAGGATGAGGAGGACGAGCTGGAGGGCGGCGAAGGAGCCGTTGGCGGCCTTGAGGAGGGTGGGCGTCGGGCCGGGCGTAAAGATGCCCTCCCAGAGCTCGACGAAGAAGGACGACATGGCGGGGGAGGGGTTTTCCAGGGTGTGTGTGCGAGTGTAGCTGGGATGTGTGAGATATGGGTGTATATTCTTCAGTAGAGTTGCGCTTTTTCGTTGTCGCGGTTGAGACGTGAGCTTCTTCTTTCCCTCTTCTTCCTTCTATCTCTTGACCAGCTTTTCCTTAGTGTTGTTGTTGTTGTTGTTCGCTGGTCTTTATGGGCAGAGGCGGTCGCTGCCTGGTGACCACTCTACGTCGCTAATAGAGCCCAAGTACCAACCAGCGGCGCTGAAGTGTCTTGAACTCTGCGCTCTTTTTCAACGAGCAACCGTGTCCGTAAAAAGATGAAAGAACACGTTTGTCGCGTGTCAAACAAGTAAATGTTGGGTTTTTTTTATTTTTATCAAAAGACGTTCTCGTTTTCGGGTGTGAATGAGAGATCATGCGGTCAAGGGAGACACGAGAGTGAAAGATGATGGATTACATAAGATACATTCTTGACATCTGCCAGTCGGATATCACAAGCTTTATCTCATGACCACGATATTGTATGTACAGATTTTAATGTAACTCGTCTTCTTTTTTTTTTTTTGCTTGTGAGACCGCGTCTTTGCCTTGCCTGCTTTGTTGTTTCTTATAGTTTCACTGCAAAGTGTAGACGAACAAGAACTGTTTGAAGCGAGCTCAAGCCACAAAACGTGGTAGAGCTCTCGCATAAGGCGAGATCCGATAATAAGGCCGAGAAACTCGTGGTCCGCGACGCCATAAAGACGAAACGCAGCATGTGAAACTGAAATGAGCTTAGATATCAGGTCGCGATCAATGACATGGTGATATGGTCAAGTCGCTTACCCTATACTCTCGAATGGCACAGCTTCGGACGGGAGCACCGCCCCTCCTATTCGGAATGGGAAATAGATGATGGCATGTCCAAGATGAGGGGAATTCTCTAATACTATAAGGTATAAACATATTGGGTCCAAGTTGTCTGTAATATCCATGGATGCCTTATCTGTCTTTCACGCCTAAGTGTGCGAGTTGGTGATCAAGACAGAGGCATTACATGCCCATCAGACAGACTTGGTGAGGATAACTTCCTCAAGAGGAAAAGATGAAATAGAGCAACTTACCCCCCCCCGCCCCCAAGCACCCCAGAAATTTTCGTACATAATGCCGGAAGTCATGTATTGCCGTAGTGTGCACACCCACACCTCAACAAAGACAGCTCACGCGACCAATACTCCATCGAGATTTCGTGTTTCTTCTTGCGTAAGACTTTATTTGTAGCTTTAAACTGCCCTAACCCCAGGTCAACAGCTCATGATAGAGACCCGTGCCTCTACAGTCGTATTGGTGGCTATGGAGAAATATATATGACGAAATACACACGATATCGAAACCCAAGGCAGCGGACACGTTCAGTGACACACGAAACAGGCCGGCAACCACTAACTCCAGAGAATGATCATAGCGGTTCCCTTCAGAGGGGCTTATCATACTAGTCGAGTTCGGAAATGCTGGGCACCCCCTCCACGAGGAAATACTTTCTCGTTTCAGGGACTACTCTCGAGTTCCAAGATCATGGTGAGCACCGCCGACTTCGCTCTGCAGTCTAGGGTTTCTATGCAATGCCCCTGGGTTTTCAAGTCTGTCGAATCTCTTCCCAAGGCGCTTGAGTTGATTAGTATTGAGAACTGCAGTACTGCCGCATCATGCATGGCGCAACTTAGGGATTGGTCTACGTTTCTATGCTCCCTTGGACCAACACTGCATTCTACGATTGACAATGCACCAGTCTCGTGATACCATGTCAAGCCTAGAGCCCTTGAGACTATCCCGTTACGAGTTGCTGTCATAGACGCTGTGCCCAGATATCACCAATGTCCCTCCTTGCCTTCCTGCTCACTTTTCAACCTTTCTAGAGAGCTCCTGGCCTGTTATTTGTCAATATCGATGAACATGGCAAACCAAGCTCTCCAATCGAGTCCATAAATGGATACGCTTAGTTCCGTCTCCTTGGCTGTAAAGTACGCCGTAGTTCCTCCCAAGACGACATCACTCACACCATCCAAGCTTAGCAGAGACTGCCCAAGGCAGATTTCCTCAAGAATGAGCCCCCTTTTCTTGCGATCAGGGCCTGAACGCAACTGGCGGTTCTGGCGCCTGGCTAATTCGAAGCCCAGAAGCATTGCGTGTGCTCTTGGAGGCGACACAAAGGATGCGCAGGAGCCCTCATCGAGTGCTTCATCACATGGAAATAGCCCCATGCTCCATTCCCAATGAACCCATAGCCCCTCATGATTGCCACTTCATATAGCTCCATTATCACTCCAGGCGTCACACCATTTGCCAGTACTGCTATTTCTTCATGCCGTATCATAGCCAAGGGTGAATTGTAGATTAGTGGATCGTCCCACTATGAATCTCCTCGTCGCAGGAAATGGGCAATTGTGAAGCGTAGGAAGGTTCGCAAGGGCCACTCCATATTGCTTAAACACCTTCCCAAGAGATGATTTAACACAGGAGGATGAAGATCCCCGTGGCTGATTTTCCAAAAGGATGAAGGATTCTCGGTACTACCTATATGCAATATCTTTGTGAGGCGTTCAGCATCTGGTGGGGACTCTGGTCAAGTCCATCAGAGCTAGACTTACAACGACACACCGAACTACCGCAGTCCCGTTTCCAAGAACCGCATCCTGATGGCGCAGGATCTCATGTGTAGACGATCATGAAACGTGCCCAGGCACCATGTTCCAAACTTACCGGGCGTAAACATCTGTGCTGACCTGCTTCTGCGGTTCCCCTGACCTGGTATTCTCATCGACCTTGGATCCCGGCAGACGCATCACTGTTCCAGCTTCGTATTGGGACCAATATAGCATAACCAATATCCCGTTTAGACTGTAGTGGTTCTCAGCTCAAGGCTGAGAGTGCCTGACCGGACGTGCCCTAATTGTCGTGCAGCATTAGCCATCTTGCAACCGATTTCGGCGTTCCACGGATGCATCTGACGCTGGCGGCATGACAAAGCATCATGTTTGGTGTTCAGCTCGCTTGCACTCATGACAAGAAACACAGAGCCCTGCGTTATGTCATGAGCGTTCCTTGGCAGGCCAGACACCAGTAGATGAGCTAGCTAGTGGTAAATCGCCGCTGAACGTTAACACCAAACAGGTATCGATCGACTTATGTAGGCAGCGACAATTCAATCTGCAAGCTACTGTAGCCCTTGCCGATCGATGCTAAGCCCCAAGTGACAGCGGCCAGTACATAGCTAGTTAGTGGCATCCGGAGGGTTTCGGTGTGCGTGAATTGCAACCGTTGACGGTCATGTCCGGAGACATTTCGAGGGGTTTTGTATCAACACGGGACCGTGGTTGATGTGGCCTTGTCTGAAACGTGGGTGGCGCTCTTCATTCGTGAATAGTTGTTTTACTGTCCTTGACCTGGGGAAGACTGGGTGTGATTTGGAATGGCTCGGTTGGACGTGGCTCAAGCCTCATGTTCAGCTGTTCCAAAATCGACTTGGTGTCAAACCCATGTCGTCGACCCTAGACGAGTGGGGATACCGCGCGCGTCGGTCACACCTTATTGCTTCAGAACCGAACCCATTGAGACTTGTCTCTGAACGTCGAAACTCGCCAGGAAAGGGGCGCTCTGGGGGAACGAGAACGATCGTCTGCAGGGCTGCGCCGGCCCACCTCCACCCGCCCCAACCTTCCCATGACCGTCTAAATGCCGGTCTGGTATCAGTCAAATGCCTTGCGAGAAGCAATAAGGTATTCCTGATGCCCAATGTTTGTAACTGGACCTGCCTGGACTGGGTTAGAACTGGCCTGGAACTGGTTGGCGTTCCTTGGCATCCCTGAGCCTTTTGCGAAATCTTGATAACTGTGGTCCAGACACGACGAATTGAAATCCATCGGCGATACTGGTGAAGAAATGCGTGAAATCCCTAGTGTTTGCGATCTTGGCCATGCCTAGACTCATGGGACAAATGTGGCTTTCCATCAACTCCTGGGTCAGCATCTTTATTCAAACCTAGTTTACTGTACCCGACAACATTGAAACAAGTGCTGACTCAACCAACTTTCCAGATCCAGACGAGATAGACGTTTGGGCCGGTCGATCTGGAACTGGCAGGCGGGATTTGGGTCTGACATTAGGGGATCGAGGATAAGTACCAAGACTAGTGGGCGTAAGGTACGCATCCCTGGCAGTCAAACCGCTTACTCTCCCCGAAAATTACCCCATCATACCATGATAGAGGTGTCGATTGTAGTGCCCGGTGCAACTCTGAGATTCTTCCATCACCGAGTGAGTGGCTGGTCCAGAGTGCCAGTTTCCAACGGGCGTGTAACAGTGAAAACAAGCAAAGGCGACTGCTGCTCACCGGTGAGCGATGAAACATGCGAATGCAGGGCTCACTTTTGCTTTGCCCCAATGCATGAGTTGTCATATAGCGAGTGTTTCGGGTTGTGAAGCTATTTTTGAAGTCTCTGTCACGGTCTGATGATGCGGAGGAGGCTGTGTTGAAGCTGTGAGAGAAATATCGCGAAGATCTATCAACCGCCTGTGGCGTGGCTCGCGAAGGATGCCGATGCGATGCGATGGCGTGGGCGGGCGGTGGGTGAGAAGCGCGATACCGCAGTCCAGGGCTCGGGCTCTGATCTGTAACGAGGCTTGCAGTGAGCCCTAGCCTAGAAGCCGGTTGTGTCAAGGGGGGAAGAGGTAACGCAAGCCCTGCGAGGCATGCGCAACGCGATGGCTACCGGCATGGACCTTGAAGCTGGATGGGTCGGGGGTCTGGAAGGCAGAGACAGTCAGTGGTCCACGGGGCCAAGCTGTGATCAAGCCAATTCTTCCGATTGGGGCTCTGCTCACCGGGGCCACGACGCTAGAGCTGCTGATCCACGTCAATGTCCTTTTGTCGCACTGCGCCCTCTGGCCTCGATGATCCCCGCTTTCTTGAGCAATGGTTGTTTGCGCGCCTGTGCTAGCAGTTAGGGAAGCATTCATTGGATCGATTAGACGCCGTCAGCGCTGGGCCACTTCCGTCTGGGGCAGTTTACGAGCGTCGGCCCAAGCCCCTACTAGTCACCATCAACTAAGTTAAGTGACTGGTGGGGAGCCCTGTGTTGCAATCGGTCTGCTATCGGGGGCAGAGTCAGCGTCAGAGCCAGAGTTTGTACTTGGCTGCCACTGCCACTGTCGTTGTTGTCGCATTCGCACCCGCAAGTCTGCCACGAATTAGGACTGGTCGGGGTCAGTGCTCAAGAAGGTTTGCCAAGGGTTGTGTTGTTCGCGATCAACATAAGAGCGAGTCGCTCCGCGAGAAACGCGAACGAGAGGGAGAGACAGGCGGCGGGGAGCACGAGCGTGTCCCAATCAGATCAGAGATGAACTTATAATTGCTCATGTGAGTCAAGCTGCGAGCACACTGCAAGGTGACGGGAGCAACGCGCTTAAAGGAGTTGGTGCCGACCAAAACTTCGGTGCCTGCTTCTCTGCATGTTCTTGGTGCCTGGATGAGAGGAGTTGGAGGGTGACCCGAATGGTTGCGGGCGGGTGACAAGTTGGGGCGGGGGGGGGGGGGCCGTTGAAAGAGGCCAGGCAGGCAGACCATCTTTGGGGGGCTGTGAGTGATAGTGATAGTCGTCCAAGCCTGTGGCTCTGAGGTCGTGTTGCATGGGTCAAAAATAGTAGGTACCGCCTCGATGTAGCTATATCGGGGATTTGAGTACAACGTTCGATAACGACCTCGAGCGGCACAGTCGCCAACGCAAAAATTCGAGATGGAGATGGCTGGAAAAGGCATCAAGCCTTCTAATCTTCGGTACCTGCCCTTTGAGGAGTCCAACAGCTGCCTTCGTTAAGCGAGTCATCGTGGTAACTGGAAGGGATCTGGCAACTGGGAAGTACCTTCCCTTCCCTTCCCTGGAGGTGCGGTTGGCTGTGTTGCTGCAATGAGGGGGAAAGTTCGAGGGGGCCCTTGACCTCTACTCGCGCTAAGCTGGGAATGGAACCTGAGGCACCTACCCAAGGCAAAGGTAAGGTAAGGTGCGCGGCGCGGCAACGGGGGAGCGCCCGCGCAACGGCTGCAAGCATCCTGTTTTCTAGCGCAGCCATTGCGCCTGCCAGTTGCGCCTGCCGAAGTGACTCCGCGACTCCACGCTACCACCCGCCTTCCATCGTTCTTCCCGACCCTCCTTGCGCGAGAAAGGCGAGAGACCTCAGGCTAGTCAGGGACGGGCGGCCGACTCCCCAAGCGCTCGAAGCGGTAAGGCGTCTGTGTCGCTTGGGCACAGGCGTCGAGAAACGCGCACGCACCCGCTTCCTATCCCAAGATTGCGACGTATGAGCTCGGTAGGTATCGAGCTTGCGAGCCCACTTCCAACCCAACAACATCCCCATCCATCCATCCATCCATCCATCCATCCCTCCATCCCTCCATCCCACGGCACTGCACTCCCTCGACTCGACGGCACTCATGTCAACGGCACGTCAAGCGGGCGCCCGACGACGTCTACCCCCCCGGCAAGAGTCTACGCCGACACCAATGCCCTCGTGCGCGGGTCCCCATTATCCCATCTCCCTGACCCTTGGACCGCCCTTTCGCTAGCTGGGGAGGAGCCCGCTACCTTGGCCCTGGAACTCTTGATTGTCTTTGACCCGCCTTTCATCATTTGGCTTGGGCTCAAGCAAGCCATTGGATCATGTTCCATCAGGGACGCTTTACCGAAAGTCCACGCGATGGGCGACGAACCCTCTTGGCAGGAGTCGGGTAGAACAAATCGCCGGTCTATTCCCACAAGCCAGAGACGTGATGCCCCTAGAGAGTCCGCATGTTGGGCTGAGGATGAGCGAATGAGTGCGCAGCCCCCCTACAATTAGCTCGCGTAGCCGACTCATGTCTTGTTCTCGTCTGCCTCGACCGCCCACCCGCCAAGCTCTGAGGAGAGAAGCACCAGGTGCAGGGATCGTGATCCTACGGCTTTCCTCAACTGTTTCTGCCTCTTGCGAGCGTGGAGCTCTGCGCCCACGGCGACGCTGTTGGAAACACAATCAATAGCAACTGCCGTCCTTCGAGCGAGGACCAAGACTTCCATCGTTACTTGACCGACTCGTCTACGCTGGTTAATTCAAGGATCGAATGCGGGACGAGGCCAACGGCCCAACTTAATGCGGCGGTGTTGAACCAACCTTTGCTCAATTCAGCGAGCTGGCACGCTGCTCGGTCTTTTCAGAGTGGCACGCATATTGCTCGCATTGGACAGATGATAGACATGACGGTTTTGACTCCCCACCGGGAGTGAACCAAATGTCACTGACGTACGTACCAGTCACTTTACGTCTCTTTGTCTCCCATCGTTGGACTAATTAGGTCGACGAGTTGACCTGGTAGTTCCAAATACCCGCGACATAACTGCGGCTCCAACCCCAGCTCGGCTGTCGTCTCATGATCCCGGTCTTCCATCTTGGGTAGGGACCGTTGGGCCTTGCAACGACCCGCCCGTCTCTTCAGTGGCAGTCCATCCACGCAGTCTATGGAGCTTCTTTGAGGTGGGCTTCCATTCATGAGCCACGGGTTGCCCACACACTCCCTGCCATACCCCATGCCATGGCCCAACCGCGGGCATGCACCTCGATGGCCTGGTAGGGCACCTTGACACGGGTTACACGCTGCCGGGCAAGTTAATAGGCCTATCGACGCTCGCTTTTTCCCCGCTACGCCACATACCTGCGCTGTGACCACAGGCCTCTTGGGCGATGTCTCCATGCATGGGTGCTGGATCTCTAAGCATCCATACGCCCCCTTCTGCCCTTCACCCCCCTTGGAAAGCTCCCCCATCCCCATCTCCCTGTGGTGCCACTCCCGCCATGATCATACCCTTGCTCCGGCGAGTTTTCTCATTGCTCGACGTACGGCCTACGAAGCACCTGGACCGACCACCATACGGACCCTGTCAATGTATGTACTGCCCTGCTCATGTCCTGCCGGGTCTTTCTTCCATGTCACTCAATCTAAGAACGGTTTCTGTCAGAGCTCCTCCACTCTTATGCACGTTCAACTTGCAAAACTCCTTGTACTGCCTCTCTCATAAGTGTCGGCATCCTGTCCCTGAACGTGTTTGGGGCTCAGAGGGTCTTCCATAGATAGATCACTTCTCAACCCAGCTTCGATGCATCTCCATCTCTGATCAGCTCTCGCGAGGCTTCTTATAAGCCCCGATTCCTTCCCCCGGCTTGTCACTTAATAATCGCATCGGCACCTCGATTCGACAAGACCCCTCCTTTATCATCGACCTCATTGACTCCTTGTCTTTCCGTATGTCTCAACCCGAGTCTCTCTACCTTCCCCCATCCCCTCCATCGTCAGTCAAGATGGACCCGGCCGCAACAGATGGGAGCTGTGACAACATGAACTCACCGCCCGCCAGATCAACTGCCGGCAGTCAAGTCTCGCTCACCGGAGGGCAGTTTATCAACTCAAACATATCTGCCTCACCCCAGAGTCTCCCCCTCGAGTCTTCGCGGCAGCCCCAAGTTTCCTCGCCAAACAGTTACTCGTCAACGACCTACCTAAGCTCGTCCGCCGCGGAGTCATCTTACCTCCCCACACCTGCTTCTCAATCCTACTCCCCGTTTCCGGTCCTAACTCCGGCCGGCCTAAACTCGAGCTGGAGTCAAACGGACCAGCTGCAGTCGGACTCTACTTCATCTCTTCGCCAACAACAGGGCAGAACCTCACTACAGCCATTGACATCAGACTCTCGTCAAATAGAGAGATCATCCGACATGAGGTATATCACGGTTAACTACACTACATTGATTTAAAGCTAATACCTGTGGCAGTACTGTCGCTCTCCAATTTGATCCGGCCTTCTCCATGGGACCAAGGTCGGCCTTCACTTGGCCAGGTACAAAGACCTTTCCCTGAATCGCCTCCACAACTGGAACTGACCAACTTTACAGGCCCTCTAGAGTCGAATGCGTCTGGCAGTTCGATGATGGGCACTGGACTGTCATCAATGGGTCCGGTCTCTGGACCCAGCCTCTCGCCGCCACCACAGTCGAGATCTCTGACCTCGAGCCCCCCACGACTATCCCTTACAACAGACCAGCGAGAAATCAAGCGTCACCAAGACAAAGCACGTCGGGACACAAGACTAGTGGGCCGAATGCGCAGAGCCAGCAGCAATTCCTACGTCGATTCCCCGCCGGCAGCCATGGGGCTCCCCAGTGCGACGACTGCCATGAATCTTCCAGCCTATACAACTTCTCCGGCTCCCGTGACTCTCATGAGTGAACCACCAACGACAATGGGAGGCTCGACATACCTACAGTCCTACAGCCCAGCGACGATGGAGGACCAGCAAGCACAATCAGCATCAGTGTACCCAACAGCATACCCACAGAACTTGTAAGACCCCTGCCTCGATAGGGCAGCGCCCGGGCCATGCTAATCTGCGATGACCAGACAAGCCAACTACAACATGCCCGTAGACTATGCGGCAGTTTATGCAGGACCCGGGCATTACAGGTACTATCGCCGACCCGCACGGATTGAGGCGCAATTGACTAATTTTGTTGTTCATGACAGCACGCGACCGACATCCATACCCGTTGGCCAGGACGTTGGTTTCATGTACCAGGTACCGGCCGTCATGGGCTCGGGGAGCACCAGCTCACACGAGGGGGGACACGTCCGAGTTGTGCAGAGCAGGCCAAAACCACGATGCTGGGAGCACGGATGTAACGGACGCCAGTTTTCGACATTTAGCAACCTTCTGAGGCACCAACGCGAAAAGTCTGGACAAGCAGCCAAAGCGACGTGTCCCAACTGCGGAGCTGAATTTACAAGGACCACAGCTCGAAACGGACACTTACTTCACGACAAGTGCAAGGGTCGACGAAACACTTGAGAGATGGAGGGATATTTTGGAACGAACACCGCCATCGGGGAAAAAAACTGGGGTGCCGTCGCTACCCCGACCTTTTCTGGGGGCTCAGCCTCGGACTGAGCCAAAATTGGCGCTGGTTGCTTATCACACACGGATGCTAAGCTGCTGCACTGGTTGGCGCATTTCTATTATGGTACGGCGTATTTTTGGAAGGCAAAAGATCCCGACAGGGACTCTAAGGGAAATCTGCCTCGCAGGATCGGTGTTGTTGTCTTTTGCACGGGAACGAATCTAGATGGCATCCATGGCCGGCATCCAATCCGATGGTGAGCCAGGGGCAGACAGGCATGATGGTGGCCAGATGAGGTATACATCACGAAACAACAACAACATTTTGGAGGAGGCATTTGAGAAGGGAGAGATTTGGTGATGATTAGGTGTTCTTGGAGGGGGGCATGGTTGAGATTCTGTTTGCGGAGTCGACTTTGGGATTCTTCTTTTCTTCTTCTTCTTGTCCATTTCTTCTTTCTCAACACCATACCCCCATACCGACATTTCGGTATGGAGTTTCTTCTACCCACTTTTTTGTTTTGTTTATGCGTCAAGTTATACACACAGGTGTTTGTTTACCTGATTCACGATATCATAGAGAGCGCTGGCTGCTTGAGGAGCTGGACAGCAACAATGGATGGCTAGGCTAGGCTACCAACCTGTCTACCAACAAACCAACAAACCAATTGTCAACCTACCAAGATCAAGATACCTAACGAACACGTTACTACCAAATATACCACCATGTCAAAAAAGATGGCGATGCAATCCTAAGCTAAGGCCTTCATGTTGGTGAAAAGGTCCGGCGCCCCTGCAGCGGTTTCAATCGCGACCTAAGCCGCAATCATCCTGACAGATCAACCAGTCAGCGCCACCTCCAGAGTTAACGTTGGTTATGCGGTTGGAAGTGATGGGCAGCACCCAGCCTCACTGGCGGACGTGACTGGTCTAGTTGGCTGTGGCAGCAAAATTTAGGGCAGCAAGGATGCAAGAATCGAACGAGGAAAAGGCATCTGAAACAACCCGCCCGCAGAGGGAGGATGGGATGCCCCAGACTGTTGGTACGGACGTGCGAGCGAGAAGCAAATGATCGTCGCGGCAAGCAAGCCCACCCCGGGCTGTGAGTGTGTGTGAGAGTGTGACCAAGCAGCGTCAGAGCTTGCAGCACACAGCCGCGCCGCAAATAGCACGGGACGTTGGCCTGGCCAGGCGACGACGGGTAGCCGCAGTGAGTAGAGTAGCAACGAGCAGGAGGCGGAGGGAGGGGGAGACAGACGAGAGGAGAGACGAGGGACGCTTAACTTAGTGGCCGGGCTAAAAGAAGCACTGGATGGATGGAAACAAAGAAGTCAAGTCATGACAGTGAGATTCTAGGGGTGATGCTGATTCGGGTAGTGGGTTCACGAGAGATTAAAGCCACCGCCCGGTCATAGCAGACAATGGATGATTACCTGCTATCCAGTGCAGTGCTATGCCTACTGTACTGACTGCACTAATCCTGCATCCATGAACATCCGCATCCAGACATCCATGGCGGCGTCGGGTATCCAGTGAAGTCAGGGCCCGAAGCCGCCCCGATGCTTCTCTCGCCCAGGCCCAGGACTTTGGGGACGGTTGGTCGGATCGTGTCGGACCCGAGGACGGCGCAGGACGAAGCCAGCCACGCCCAACAAGGCGGCACCTTAACGACGCACGCCCCCTCCAAGGATGGGTCGGGTCCCACGCCTGTCTCCCAGCAGGGGGGAAGCACCCCGGCAGGGCAGGCCTTGTGAGAAGGTTTGGTTTGGTGGCATCCATCCATCCATCCATGGCTGGCACTTGCTTGGGCTTGGGGGAGCGGGCTGGGTTTGAAACGGGGGTGGCGGACCACATGGGTGGTGAACGCCAATGACCTCTATTGGCGAAGTATTTAGCACACCCACACGGGCCACACCTGCGCAGTCCGCGGGTCTGCGGGTACCTTATTCAAGGGCTCAAGAACGTGGCACGGCTTTTTAGCTTGCGCTGAATTGGTCGAGGTGGATGACAGGAGGATTGTAAAGGGCAAAAGGCACGAGGGACACCGATCCCTTTGTTATTGATATGGTTGTCTACACTGGAGGTCTTGACCTTGCAATCAGTAACGGGCGGCACTCGTTGGTGCCCTGCCCTTGAGCTCCAGCCAATCAGATAACACAAACTGGTGCCAGGCCCCTGGGTAACGTCGCAACCGAATACATGGATGGATGGAGTGATGGGAAGTGCCCTTGACACACAGGAAAGACGGGATATTCCACCCTTGATTCCCAAGGACATGACGACATGGCCCCTAGGACTACGGATATGGGTAGCCATCCCACATCCCTTCCATCCCTTCCCATCCATTCTGGCCCATGACCGACCAGGAAACTGTCATGATCATGGCACGGCCACTCCGAACGATGGTCTTTGCAGCCAAGGCCAAGCTGGATCGGATCGTCGCTCGTCTACTCTAGGCATCGACATTTGTACCTTGTCCAACTAGCCACCACCTTCCCCCTACAGCAGAGTAGGCCATGTGGACGAACCATGAGACAGGATAGGACACGATACGATAGATGCCGGGGGCATTTTGCTTTCACTTAAGCGACTATGACTATGGTTGATAATGACGTGAGAAATCCCAGCTCCTCGCCGCACCGCACCGTTCTATAAGGCAGAGTAGGGCTGGGGAAAAGCGGACTGATTGCAAGGTCAAGAGTGGAGGCCGAGAGCTTGACTGACAGACGGGGACCCAGGAAGAAAAGGGGACTTTTGGGCTGCTGCTGCTGCTCACCGCGTCCGGCATGTGGGCTTGAGCAGGCTGGCTCATGTCCTGTCCTGTCCTGTCCTGTCCCCCCTCTCCTTCGAGTGCCTCTACCTACATGAACTCACTCGTTCAAGCAGCTAGTTTGACTGCACTGCATGCAATGGGATATGAAGCACACGCAGGTACACCAGACGATCCCAGAGCACCGGTTCCTGAATCCTTGGAGGCTTCATTCCGGCGCAACGGTTCCAATCCTTCAGCTAGAGTTTCGGCTTGGCCCAGATTTTCGTTCGCTACACGACCGCCGCCCCCTTTCGCTAAGGGCGGCAGATCGCGAACCACGAGCCGCCCGGCGCGTGCGCTTTGGCTTTTGTGGTGGATGTGCAAAGAGCACGAACGTTCCCTCTTTGGAGATGGTAGCGAGTCCGAGTGCGAGCAGCGGAGAAGTATTTGATCTGGGCTAATTCCCATTAATGGATATCAAAGAGACTAGACGCATAGACTCTTTTTGCTGGAGGCTTGGCCGATGGGTAAAGGTGGAGTTAGCTAAGTGGGAGTTGAGATTCGAGATTCTTTGAGCTGAGGGATGCTTGCTCCGTGCTTCCCGGCATCCCCCTCCAGATTGGGGTAATCTCTTGCGAATGCCTCTCACTACACGAAAATGGATAAAAGACGTGCATTGTTGGTGGAGAGACAAGATAAATTGCTTACTAGAGGGACCATGTTTTTCTTGAATTTCGCAAAGTTGAGCAGACAAAAATCAATACTGTGTTTTCGACTTGATTGGTATCCCGAGAATTCGGGAGCAAACCCCGGGCCTGGGTGCGGCAGACCCGGCCGGGATTGGGGCGATCCTCGGGGCGGGTCGCGGATTTGCCGGAGGGGTTTGACCATCGCCGCCATCGGGGGTTCTCCGTCTTCATCGCCGCCCCGGGGGGTGTTCATCTCTCCTCCACAGAAGGATCTTGACAGTTCCGCTTGATGGCTCATGCTTCTTCCCTCCCACGACGATCCTTCTGTCACCCTAAAAGCGCTGCTTCGCAACATATACTCCCCCCGGGCGTACAGCAGCCACAGTGCGCTCTGACTTGGGGTGTTTAGTCTCCCATCTGCTGAAACAAAAGGCTTCTACACCCCCTACGCAGCTCATTTAACTTGCTTCTCGAACGAACCACCATGACCCCTCCCCCCCTTGTGGGACGTTTCCAACGACCGGCGGTTTAGGAGAAAAAGATGGCGTGCGCCAGCCTACCTAGGGAATCTGACAGCCAGTGCTCGCCTCACCAAGTTTCCAAGGCTGAGAATGAAGAAGCTGGGACTCGAGCTAATCTCCCGCTAGACGGGCTCAAACAAAACACCAACCGCTCTGCTGCTCGCGTGGGGTCGCCGACCCCGGGCGCTGGGCTCAGTTCGACGGCGCAACAGCAACAATGGTGCGCAATACGTACGCAGAATAGTTTCAGTGTCCATTGGCAAGTCTAAGCGTCTTTGGTAATAGTTTGTAAGGCAGGACCAACAACCGTTTTTCATCGCAACTGTTACCATATTCTGCTGCCTTGCTTTGCCTGCCGACGCACTTCGTTCCGA